ATTCTCAAATTAAATTTGACTGTTTTTCATACAACTGTTGTTAAATGTTAATTTTATGAAGTTAATAACATAATTCTATTCAACTAAAAAAATGTTGAACACAAGTTCTGACAAAAATAGTACATACTCATGTTTTATGAATTTCTATGAGCATTTTATAATTACACTTCTTGCTTTAAAAAAATGGTTCTACATTTTGTCATCTTCATCATGCACTCCAGTATGAAAAGCTTGACACCTGTTCTTGGTCTAAAAAGGATACTTATCTTGCAAATATTGGAATGAAGACTGACAACATTATATGTTCCCAATTGATTCATTTTTTTTCGTAGTTTCTTCATTTCTCTACTCTACTGTTTGTATTTCAGAACACCCTTTAAGAAGACTCCCTTTTTTATTCTTTTAATATGTTCTAGTGATTTCTTTCAATTCTTTTTAACTTCTTCTGTTACACTTGTTCTCACAGGTCTCTAGCTTATTGCTTTGCTTTTTTGTAAATCCAATCTATTTAAGTCCAAGGACATGTGCAAGTAATATAACTTGAACTGCTTTTAGGACTTTGTTACCCCTACATAATCCATTTTTCTGAGTTAAATGACATCAGTTTGGCAGTGGTATTGTGGATTTTTCTCTTTAATTTGGTTCTGTGTCATATCCCTTCCAGAAGTCTTTTGATTTATTTTATTACATTTCAAATAATTGTGTTGCAAAACTTGAGAATTTTTCCAATGTTGCCTAAAATTCTGAAATAGAATTGATGATTATTCTATTTGACACACTATGGCTATCTTCACCCAGTTTTATCTCCTTTCCTTGGAAAGATATTGCTTTGTTTTTTCATCTTGGAGATTTTCATACCAAATTTCTTAGCTATTGGGTTTAACTTATTCAATTTTGTAGTTCATTTTCTTACTCCACCAATAGAGTTGGCCGTCTATAAACAAGATTGTACGATTTTGTTGCTCTTGTTTATTAAAACATATATCTTGTTTGTTTCCATCTCTTGATCAGGTTTTTCATCCAGTTTCCCTGATCCATTGAACAAATGCTAAGATGACCCCTTATTTCACTACAGGACAAATGTAAATGTAACAATCTGTGAATGTCATGTAGACTTCAGTGGGAAATCTAGTTATTCAAATTATAATTCTCCATGTTGTGGTGGCAAGAAGTATTTCTTTCATCAAAGACAAAAGGGACAAGATCCCAAATCTACAGCTGATTTGCACTTGAAAATAGATTTAATTACATCAGAGCAAATATTTTGTTAACAGTACTTGCCAAATGTGGTCAGTTCTTTCTGTATTCAGAATTCAACTTGTAAATGGCTTCAAGTAGAGACGCCAGATTTGAGAAAATGTTCACAGAATTGACTTCTCTTCACAACACATCACATGCAGTTTCTAACCATTTCGGACATAAAATAAATTATGTTTTGAAGACAGGGTTGTGGCCCATCACACAATCTCAGTTGTACTTGTAATAATTTTGGAAGGGTCCCACTGGGATTAAATATTGTGTTCAAATTCTTTTGAAGATTTATTCCTTCGTATTTACTAAATAATGAAATTATTTTATTACAAATTTTGTTTTCAGAAAGATTTTACTATTAATATATAAAAGTAAGCTATTGCACAAAAAGCAACAAATTATTTACCAGAAACATTTATGCCCAAGATTTAAATCAAAATGAATTTCAGAAGAATTAAAATAAATATCTGAATTATTCTAGATCTGAATATATTTTTCTATCAAAGTTAATTTGCAATAAGGATTGCAAATTCAATTTCTATAAAAACCAACCAGAAATATCCTTTCTGTACATAATATGCCAAGGATAGATCTTCTCTGGTAATTTATAAAGAACTAACTATACAAAACCCTGTAAGAGTACTACACTAAATATGGTATTATACCCTATTTACATTTATTTATTTATACCCCAGCTCTACAACCAACAGATTTAAGACCAAAAAAAATGTTAGCAGTTAATGACATCCATTGCAACACACAATATAATCATGTATATCACAGAAATGGTGTTAACAATTTTAGAATGATTTTGCTTGCACAATACCAATCATATAGTGCTAGAGTTCATAGTTCAGGGACTTTCCATTCAAAGTAACGATCCAATATTGAGCTATTTTCAGTTCACAAAATTATTATTGTTTACCAAGGGATTTTTGCATGAGTCCAGCAGGTAACAATTAATTTATTATGTATTTCCTCATGTACACAATTACTCAAGTGTAAATCAGAAGAAGAAAGTTCAATGCTCACTGAATCTACTTTTATATTGTGATTCCAATTATAAAACATGAAAACAGAAAGACCAATTGACAATAAACATGAAAACAGAAAGACCTTTGCTTGACAATAAACAGAATCAGCAGATCAATGGCAACAGAATGGAAGAGAGAGGAGAAGAGAGACATTATATACCATTTTAATCTACCACAAATCTAAGTTACAAAATAAGTACTTTTTGTAATAAATATAGCATAAATATAGCATAAGAAATTAACTTTTTTCCGGAAAAGCCCATTATAATTAAAGAATCCTAATATTATTAGAAAATAAAAAATCAACTTCCACTATTTTATTGATGGATCTACAGGCAGTAGCAAGTCTTTTATGCATTTTGGAAAAAATATATCCCTTAAATCAAATATGATTTCAGCAACTTCAAGACTCCTACAAAGAACAACATGAAAATAGTCAGAAGCCTCAATGGTATGAATGAAGCATTTTCATACCCTAACTTTCCAACTAAATAGGTAATTATGTGTGTTTGAAGGTGTAAGATTTGGAATTGAAAAATAAACTCTAAAGATAGTGTTTGACACCATTCATTTTAATTACAACTAACTTACAAACCTTCACCCACTCTTCAAAACATTGTCTTTCAAGCATTGCACTGTCACATTTATCAGTATTTAACACTTTCACAGTATAAAAGAATATCACAATTTCATTCCTTAATTTCTCTATAAATAAATGTACCCAAAATCTTATCACAGCATGTTTGCATTTGTTTTCAAATGCATATTTGAGTTTGTACTTAATCATATATTCAAAAGTGCACATTATGTAGCTAATGTTAGTATAGTAATGTTCCAGATCTTATTTATTCACTCTATTTCCAAAAATGTGTTGTCAGCATTAGGAATATATTTATGTTTATTTTCTTCAAAAAGGGTTGTTAAAGAATCTTGAAATAGTTTATGGTATTTGTCAACGTCTTCATTTGTAGGGTCTGGAATCTTTGGAACTTCCACAGGAGGACCAACTGAAAATTTAAAAAAATTAATAATTTCCGTGAAATTCAATGTTTTAAAAATTAATACAGTTTTGTAAAATTTATATAACATGAACTACCGGCAATCAACTACCAATTCATTATTAAGATAAGTGTGTAATTCTTACCAACAGTAGTGACAAGACTTCGTCGAGGTACCAGACCAAAGGAATACTGGAAGTAACCTCGTCCAATTGGTATAACTGGTGCTACTGTGGTCTTTCTGCGTACAAACTCTTGGAAACGCCGTAGTAATGATCCTTCTGGATTGTGCATCTGATCATATAAGTTTGTTTCTCCAAAAGAAAATACAGGAACCAATGGTGTGCTGACAACAAAAAATGATTACTATGAAATAAAATGAAATGAAATTTGAAATAAATTTAGTAGCTGTTGCCAAAATCTTAATTTGTGCCATTATAATACATATGATCTGAAAGTAAAGTTATCATATGGTTTTAATTTTTCAAATTTTGCATATTGTATGACACACAAACTATTCTGGAAAATTTCAATTACTTTACTGCAACTGTTTTAATCAACTGCAAATACTTTAACTCATGTATTAATAACAATTTAATTTATTACTAATAATTCAAGCAATCACACACATTAGCACTTAATTTATACTATACAAAAGTATTAAGCAAGTAGTAAGTCGTTGACTTTCACTTTTTTATTAATTGAGTGATTATTACAATAGAGTAACTTCATATTTAGACAACAGTATATGCCTCCTCCCTCATTTCCTCTTTCATGAAACTTTTTGAAAGACATGATGAAAGATTTGTGGTACACTCTTCCAGAAAATTCACTCTACAAGTTATTTTATGTACCCCTCCTCCTCTCTTTTTATTTATTCCCTCTAATACTCCTAAGAAAAATTACAGTTTTGTACCATTTATAAGAAACCATTGACACAAAACCGTGGAAGTGTGCTGCTGATAGAGAATGAATTACTTCCTGTCCTGCATCAAACAGATTTAAGATTAAGAAAAAAGTTTGCAAATCATGATACAAGGAAAAGAGCTGGTGCTTATGGAGTCATAAACACACATTATGCTGCTATGATGAATTATACAGAAATGATGCATCCTAGGTTCTCAATATCAGGTTTTCATGCCTCTATGAATTATGTTTCTTCTTTTGTAATCTACAAAATGAGACATTTTATTCCATTTCTGAAAGAAACCCCAATTCCAACACAGGTTTTTAGAAACATTCAATGTTGGGTCCCTGTAAGCAACTATTTTCACTTTAAAAATTGCAAATTATGAAATATTTTCACAGGGCCAACTAACTAGTAATACTATAATAATTTAAAAATTGAATATTTGTTGCTCTAAATTTAAGGGAAAGAAAAATAATTTGATATTCTGAAAATTGTGAATGTGGCCCTATATCAAATTTTACTTTCCAAAAAGTTTCAACTCACCCATTTTTCAAAGCAATTTTCACGAAGCCTTTTCGTCTGCTCAGAATTACACGATATACACCAGGTCGACAATGTAAAGATTCTGCTGCACCTCCAACAATCAGTATACCAGCTCTACCAACTCCAGGAGCACCCAGCACCCAGTTGATGCTTTTAGAAGATGCTGAACAACCTCCTGACAACAGCATAATCAATGAAAATCCTTATTGACATTAATTTAATGGGACAATATTTCTATAGTTATTTTAAATAATATACAATTTCATAAATGACAGAAAAAAGGAGAATATTTGTAATAGTGTAGTAAAAGCCCATTGATACTCTAAAATTGTGGAATGACAATTAATTTTTTTTTTTTCTCGACAATGCAAGGTTCTGAGATATAATTTGAAAGTAGTTTATACTCTATTTACTTCTCTGAAGTTTATGATTATGCTCCTGTTCTTACAACTCCAAGAAAACTCTTGTGAAAAATATTTTTAAGAACCACAAAATATTTGTATATATAAAACTAATTTGTTTTTCAGTCAATTGATTTTTTTATTAAATTGATTGTATGTCAATCAGTAAAATCTTATGTAACATGCTACAAGGAAAATGTATTCTGTGCAAGTTTTCTTAATGCTGATATCACTACACAAAGCCATATAGAAGTTGAATTCTAAATACAGAAATGAGAGTTTTTGGTAAGAATTGTTAACAAAATATTCACTCTGATATAATAAAATCTATTTTCAAGGGCCAATCAGCTACAGAATTGGGTTCTTATCTCTCTTCATATTCTTCATGAAGAAATAATACTTCCTGCCAGGACAACATTGATAGCGATAATTTGAAAACTAAATTTCCGACTGAATTCTAGAAGATTTGCACAAATAATGAAGTTACATTTATGTCAGCAAAACAAGGGACCATCTCAGCATTTGTTCAAAGGATTAGAGAGACTTAATGGAAAACCTGATCGAGATTTGCCCAGAACTTGAGGTACAAATATTTTTTAAAATATTTAATGTTAATATAATTGACCTGATTAAAAGTAATTTTAATATATTTTCAATAATTCACATGTACAAGAGATCTTGTACCATAATAATAATTCACAACAAACCATTATGGAGTGCAGAACTGTATTAGAAAGAATATGTCAATAAACAAGTATAAATGTTACACTACAAATTTATAGATTTTTATTTGTAAATTAATTAATGAAGTTTTACAGAACGTTTAAAATAATTTGCAGGTTTTTATATTTCCTTTTTGTATTAGTGTCAATCAGTGTTCAAAAGTTAATATTTCAAACACACATTTTAAATTGAGTAACTTTTCAATCAATGCCATGTAACTGAAACATGTTTTAACTTTGCCAAACAGTGCATTCAAGCCACATAATATAACAGGGTTGGACAAAATACTTTAAATTTAATACTTTGGCAAAATATTTATAAATAAGTATTTAAATACATACTAACACATAAAAACACATTAAGTTTTGATTTGCTAAATTCATATCTATATTATATATATTATATATATTATATATATTATATATATTATATATATTATATATATTATATATATTATATTATATTATTATATTATATTATATATATTTAAAATTCCTGAAATACTCCAAATACAGTGAATATAAAAATTTTGTATTTTGTAATATCTTTTTAAATGTAACAATAAATTGTAATTGACAATTAAAATAAATTAGTATTTGTCAGTCTCATAAATTTCTGATATAATATATATATAATATAAAATATGTACAATACTTTTGAACATAAAATGATACAAACATATGCCTTACTCAAATGAACAGAATTTGCTTTAAATCTTTTGAACAAATCATCAGGCAATAAATCGCTAGTTGACAAATGTATCAAACCCAGAAAGGTGAACAGGGGTTCAACTTGCACAGATAAACGTGAACTAGTGTTTAACGAATAAACTATTTTGTTACTGTCGGATAATTTATCCAGAATTTTTAAGGATTTAGATTTATTATTTAAGAAAAATTCTATTCATTTTATAAAACAGAATAGAATTAAAACTCAACAGCTCAAAGCAGCTTTAATTTTTGTTTCAATGAGGTGCATTCACTAGTGCAATCAAAACAAAAAGAAACTATCCTCGTCATCTTCTTCATCTGTATTTTAAGCATTTCTTTTTTTAATTAAACCTATTTTATATATGTAAATATATCTCCTAAATATATCTCCAAAATACATGTCCAAAATACATGTCCAAAATACATGTCCAAGAATATTCCAAAACACAGTTTTTCAAATACAAAATGTATTTAAAATACGCATTTCAAATACAAGTATTTAAAAACTGCACAACCCTGAATAACACTTACATTTAAAACACAAAAACATTTATTCATTTACACTTACCTAATCCTAGAACCAGTTCCCGAAAGAAGGGTGTAATAAAGTGTATATGCAGGGTATGCACATAAGGCTCCAAGCCTGGAAACATATCTCTGAATGGTGCAAATTCATTTCCAAATTGGCCAAAGGCACCAGCACTAAGAACACCATGTGGAAACACACAGAATAGATAGTTGCGGTCAGGTGTTAGATCAACAGTCTTCTCCAATCGCAAAGGAAAATATTCCCGGAAGTAATGCCAGCCTATGAAGCTGCGGGTTGACATATTCCTGAATACAAAACAAATATTCAAATGGATTACTTTTGGCAGAATTTTATATATTTATAAAAATGTATCATTAACATACAGCACATCTTACAGTACCTCTCATAGATCTCTCACACAACAAAAGTATGTTTATAAAGTTAATAAATTCAATTTGGAAATTTTTGTTGTGAAAACAGTCTACTTCAAATGTTTTGTAATTTTATAGTTTTAAAATAAAAAATAACCACCAATGTATTGACAATCATTTCTATTTTTTAAATAATATATATAATATATTTATAATATTTAGAAAACTAGTGTCCCCTTTTTTACCCGACCATTGAACCCTGCATGTAACAAAAGATGTCAAATGTTTTATGACATAATATGTATTCATAAAATATATATATGACAATATACATTGTCATTGAATATTCTGTATAGGTAATTAAGAATTTATTCTTTGTAGTATTTTCAATCATTAGTAGAAGTGGAGCACGACATGCGCAAAAGGATCGAAGAAGGATTATTTTTATTTTTTATTTTTATTTTTTAAATCTTTTCTTCTTCTTTAAGAATCTAAAACTACAGCGCAAAGGGTGTCGCGGCATATCCTTCACGCGTCCCCGCGTAAGTAGCAGGAGGAAGGGGGAGCACTGGAAAACAAGGGGAACAATAGCACATTCACAGGAACGAGGTCGCCTGGGTATACAGTACGGAGGAGCACGTGGCCGAGTGAATGGACGGAGACCCTTCAACAAACGCGTCGAACTGTGTTTGCGCAAGAAGGACGCTACGATGGAAGTAAACGTAGAATCGCGTCGTGTGCAAATTCAAGAGACGCCGGGAGGGAACCTCATTTCATCTCAATCGATGTTTGCTTTTCTATTTTATTACTAGTCTTTAAGGTGGAATTTTCTCATTTAGAGACGAAAAGTTTTCAACGAAATGATTTCAACAAATATGAGATCTGCACAATTATCTTTACGCTATAAGAGAAAGTTTAATCAAAATATTTTGTGTCATTTTTTAGACAAATTTTGGAAATGTTGAGGCTTTACGTAAAGTTCCATCAAAAATCAAAATATCCGTTTTCAAACTAGCTGGACCTTGAGTTTCTTCAAATTGATCCATAAATATCAATTTTGGGGAGTATCGGCGGAATAATTTTGATACGCTAGCTTTGAATGTGGACAGGTAGACGTTTATCAGTTTTTCGGGGTCAAGAACCCACCACAACAATTCATATATAGGAACAAGATTTATTAATTTTTTCGTTGCCAGGCACGGCAATAATAGATTTTGTTGAAATTTCAAAATATTTTGCGGAAACCCGGCGCACGAATACAACACATTCTCTTCTTATCACGTAAGGGCGGGAAAGAAAGTGAGTCGACGGTAGCATTTCTTACAAACAGCTTCGCGAGTTTAAAAAAAATCGCTGTCATCATACGGGAATTTAGGGTTCCACTTATAATAATTTTCAATATTGAAACCGAAAAAAATCTAGCGGTCATGTGCAGCCAAGATTACAAAGAAGAAAAAAGATTCTTCTATGGAAGTGCTGATGAAAATATCAGTCAGAATAAACATTTAAATATTTTTAATCATTACTTTTTTCAATAATTCCTTTTAAATAATTATTTGTTATTGATAAATCTCTTTTGTACCTCTATTTTAGCAAAAATAAATGTATTTTTGCATTGTATTTTAGTGAAAATAAATTCCTTATGCCAGCCTCTATTTTGGTAAAATGAATGCCTCAACTTCCAGTCTCCATGGCCTACTTATCAATATAATGTATTACTTTGAGTGTTCAATTTTCTTAATGGAAATGAATTCGCCTTACCTTAATGTAATTGTATGAAAACTTATGTCAACTTTGTGTCTGTCATTTTCTCAAGTTTTAAAAGTCCTTGTATAAGTTTACGTTCAATAGTATTATCTCTTGCCTTACCACCAAATTATTTTGCTTTTAGCCCAATACCAAAAGAGTAAGCGAACGTTTGCAAATCAATCATATTTTATTTCGTCTGGCGAATGTTTCAAATCGAATAATATTTTTATACTAAAATTGAAGCGTATACGCTTTGTCGAGCCTGGTTGAACTAACGAGTTTTCATTCAAGTTTGACACTTGTAGAAAGTTTTGTTTTAAAATTTGGACCCTTTTGTCTCTGTAGAAAATGAAAGAAATCTACAGAGGTAAACATTAACCAACTTAACCCAAACTTTCACCTCTCAATCCAATAAAATTCAACTCTCATCCAATAAAATTTATTTAATGCCGAAAATACAGGCGTTACAGATTTTAAAAAAACGACAAAAAAACTGTTTACTATTTGAAAGAAAATCTTGACTGACACGCCAATGAGTCACTGCTATTCTCCCGCCATCTCTTTAAAATCTTTCTTCTGCAACATCTCAATATAGCAGGAAATAATTTGCGAGTCTGTTGACGCCAAAACTACGAGGGCCCATCTTGCTTAACAGATCACTGCCTATGGCTGTCGCGTCGCCATGAGCAATGTTCAGCTGAAGTACCGTTGGGTGGTACAACTGTGTGTCACGGTATAGAAATATACGCCAAACCTGTTTAAGAAACAATGATGCTCTCAATCCGTTTCTAGGAAAAATGGATTAAACAATATTTATATCAAAGAAGAAAAGGGTTGTATTATAGAACAGGAGCCGATAGAGAGCATCACGGTCTCGTAAAAATGTTTGGCACCCTGGCATGTAGTTGTACCAATTGACGTTAGTTCAGCCCATGCATATAAAAACTCGCCCGCAAACTGAGTACGAGGAACGTGCCTACAAATTGCGAATCTAGTTGAAGTTTCTCAATGAAGAGCAATGCAGACGTAGGGCTTGTGAATGTATTATATGAAAGGTGTAAATGCTCTGAGTAATAGTGGTTCATGTTTTAACAATTGTGGATAAGTATGGTCAGGCTACGAAGTGCAGCAAGATACTTTGTTCATTTTGTTAAAAAAAAGCAAACTTTCAATATTCTGAAATTAAAAGTGATTAAATGCATCCAGCATTGCTTCCCTACCCACCTACCTAGGTTCACCTGCGAAATCATCAGTTGCGAGCCCATTAAACACGTGGGAGGGGCGGGGCCTCGTGTTTGTTTTTCAGCTAACTAAATATAGGTTCGGGAATGCGTGGCAAAAGCAAAACCCAAATCAGGACATCAATAATATTTATCCCATAATAGGGAACACACTCACTTAAAACAAACCAAAGCTCTCAGTTCCGACAGGAGAGTAATTCAAGAGAATATTTCATGAAATATTGCATATTATTATTAAAAGAAACTTGTCCAGTAACGCAAAGATTCCATCATTTTAATAACCGTGATAAAAATTGAACTTTGCATTCATTGAGCGTGTGATTGCTCGGCATTGATTCTAACAATCGTTTAGTCGTTTGCTTTGTCTATACCATTTGATATACGATCCTATTCGTCAGTACAGCTACATTAGACTATTCAATAGCCACTTGAGTCAGAATGATTATGCAAGTGGCGAACTCTGTCATTTACTTGATAACCTTGACCCAACACGGCCCCACTCCAGTGACTAACATTTTTTCTTACGATCATTTATCTCCCTGCGGAAAGAATTGAACCGAAGTTCTTGCACAGAGTTAACGATGATTACTGAAATACGGAGGCTCCACTGTTGTCGATGTTCTTGTTTGTTGCGTCCGTCCGCCCGTCCGTCCGTCCGCCCGTCCGTCCGCCCGTCCGTCCGCCCGTCCGTCCGCCCGTCCGTCCGTCCGCCCGTCCGCCCGTCCGTCCGCCCGTCCGTCCGCCCGTTTTGTTTTGTTTTGTTTCCGAGAAGTCGCGCACTCACCTGCGGCCGCCGCGCTCGCAGATGTCCTTGTCGTACCACACCCAGGCGAGATAGGGCAGCAGCAGCCAGCGCAGGTAGTACGAGTAGAGGAGGATGGCGAGCACGACGAGGCCGGCGATGATGTTGCCGAAGCCGAAGGTGATGAACCACAAGGAGGCCGCCAGCGTCTGCAGGCGCCGCTCCAGCGGCACCCGCAGCGGCGCCGAACTGCCCGCCCAGCAGCGCATGTGGCGCCTGCCGACAGGCAGACATCACCCGTCACGTGCTCGACGA